CTGCATATGAGATTTCATTATTGCTGATAAATTTGCCGCCTGCGACCGACATTCCTGATAAAAAATTAATAAATAACCAGGTGTAAATGGACCAATTTGCCTTAAGGTAAGTTGTATGTGTAAATAATTGACTAAATCAATAAGAAATAAGTATTTTAGTTTTAGAGCAAGAAAAACTGATCAGCACGATTTCTAACTCTTATCTTTAGTAGAACTTTCGAATTTTCAAAATTAATTCAAAATTTTTTTGTTGATATTTTTTGGTACTTTTCTGCTAATTATAAGGGAGCGATCCTTATCGGTTTCATCAAATGGCTTTTAAATGTTTAAGTTTAGTGCCGCCGTTTTTTTCAAAAATCGTCATGAAAGGTCAAATTCTGGGTCACGTATACATGCACACACGCACTTATTCGAATTTAATTAGTGACATCATCAATAATGCTACTGCATAGTAAAAAAAATCGACAATGAAAATGAGAAGCTAAAAATTCACCTTAATTCTATGAGAGTAGTAAATTTTTACAGAATTATATTAGATTGAAACAGTAGATATATAATAACATATCCAAATATTATATGATAATTTTGTTTAATTTTACAAGAAAAAAGTAATGCAATTATCATTTAAAACAGGTTATCAAGAAACATACCGAGATAGCTGTATTTGGGAACAGGTCGATCAGTAACAAGTGGACCATAATATTTTTCATGATCTCTGCTCAGAAAATCCTCCTCAGTAGACATCACAAACATTGTGCCAGTCCATGTATATGGTCCAGGTGCCCCGATCATTAATGAGTCTCCAATGAGAACACTGCTCGTTCCAGCTTGACAAAAACCGTATTCTTCGTGTTCTCTACAACATTAAATAAACATCATTTATTAAAAAAAACAATATGTATTTATTTTAAAATATGACTATAAAATCCATCTGCATATAATCATGTACTTAAAATTAATTTAAAACCGTTTAAATTTAAAATTATCTATAAAAGAATGTTACTTTTATTAATTGAGATATATTGTGAAACAATTAAACCTAAAAACTTAACCTTGTATAACTTAACAACTAAACTAGTTTATTTTATTTTGCTGCCTGGTGCAGATAAGAAAGAAAATCATTATGTAATGACAAAGTATGAAAATTTCAAGTATGCCATATAAAATATGCTATGGACTTACTACAACTGACTTGTTTTTGAAATGATGATTCTATATTTGAATAGACTTTAATTTTAGGTAAGTTATTGTAATCGTCCAAAAATCGAAATTGAAAATTTTTACATTTCTCGACGTTTTGAAGGTTTCTGAAGATTTTGGCATAAATGGATGTGTGTGTATGTATGGATACAATTTTTCGTCCACGTTTTCGGACGCACGGATCAACCGATTTGAATGATCCAAAAAACATACAATTCATAATGACGTGGAGATGTGGTGATTAGTTATTGGAAAAAACAGGTCCAGCGGTTTCGGAAATACAGAGCTAAATGTGCAAAAAATAGCAGGTTTTGAGAAAACTAAGCGTCCGATTTGAGTGATTCAAAGAAATTTTTGCTTGTTTTAACAAAATAATTGCTTTTAGAAAAAAAAATTGTTCAATTTTTTTCTTCAAAATTTGTTTCTTCAAAAAAAATTTTTTTCAAAAAATATTTTTTATTTGTATATCGAAAATAATTCAAATTTTAATTGTAATTCTGACATAAGTTTTAATATACTTTAAGCAAATATTTTTAACTTTGCCATTCACTTTATATAATTCTTAAAAATATTAGACAATGTTACAGTATTAATTTATGATAATCTATTTGAAAACATTTAATATTCCTTGACATTTCGTTACCGTACGGGAAGTTTCAGCAATTTGCCTTAAGGCACGATGCCATATACACCACTAGTTTTTTTAAAGTAAATCATAATAATGCAGTTTTTTCATTGGTAATGTGATTTTAACTTGAATTTGATGATGTCTTCAATACCGTCTGCTCTGATTGTTTATTTATGGCTAGTTCAATTGCAAAATGCAAACTTTCTTTTTCATGTAGAATTTGTAGTCTAGACAGAACCATTGATTTCATTGATATATTTGCTTTTAGTAGCTCCAATTTGGATACAGACGTTTACAGCTATATACAAAAACTTTAGAAAAAATAAGCAATGCTCGATGTAAAAGTCCATTGAGATATTCTTAATGCAGTTGCCAATAGTTTTTTATAAACACGAAAGTTTTTTATCTCTTCGCAAGTCCTTTATTATACTGCTCATTACGTTTTTTTTTATTACTGAAAGATTTAGCGTTGCGCTATAAAGTGAATTTAAATGGGCATATGTTTAGTGAGGTAATCTTAGTGATTGCGAAAGTAGATAAACTCCAGAAGTTCAGAGTAATCAAAATAAATAATTTCACTATGCCTATATGGATTTGATTAAGAGTTTACTTAGTCTTTTAGTGATGACTTAAATCTTTGACCAACAAAAGTAATTTAATACTTGCAGACTCAGCTTGATTTACATAGTCTGAGATTAGAATCAATTTTTCAATAAAATTAACTTTTCAGTTAATTAAGTAGCAAAAACACTGACCAGGAGCATTTTTTGTTTTTATTGATAATTATAACTGAGAATTATAAGAGCTTATATTTCAATTAAATTTGTTGGTTTAAACAAAATTTTAAGTAAATATGAGATTCTAGATGAATAACAAAATAGTGTATTGATGCCATATTTATATTTCATGGAATGTCTGACTTACGTCGACAAATTACTAACCACTACAGTTTGAATTTGAAATAATAATGAATTAAATTAACAATTCTATGAATCTATCTAAAATAAACTGATGATTAGATAGAATTCAGACAAAATATGCTCGGTTAGGTTTTTCTTTAATACATTCAAGGAAATTGGCACATGTCTGTCCTAAATCAAGAATATTGATGAAAAATATTGAACAATATTTCTTGAGTTGATTGTTTAATATATATTAAACAATTCTTGAAAATGGTAAGAAACGCAAAGTAATAAATAATCATAATAATAAATTTATACATATCAGAATGAATATGGTTAATCATTAGTGATTTTAATCAATTTTATTGTAATTATCAAAGCAACAAGAACTACAGGTTAAATCATTTGAGGCCAAAAAAAAAAAATTGAAACCTGTGAAATATGATTGACTTTTAACTTTTACTCTAACTACTTCTAAAAACAGACCAAGGAATTCATCAGTAAAAAGAAGAAACTTTCATCTATTGCAAAGACCTCTTTTCCCGTTCCCAAAATGAAGGTAGGTTACGATTTATGATTTGCTCCATTTGGGCAAATGGGTTATGTACTGATGTCCCAAGTACGACCAAACAATTTATTTGCCTTCTTCAAAATTAGTATCTCGGTATGTTCTTACCTTATATATCATTTTGTTCGTGCTATTTGAACTAAATATTGTTTGTAATTAGTTGCATTTTTTCTTTAAAAAAATAGTGTGATTCCTAATATGATTGTAACTGATTTTATTATCATTATGTAAATAAATATCAGTACCATGGCATTTTGTTGGTACTTTCCCTACAGTATTATACCGGCAACGAACACCAAAGTAAATGCAGTTAAAATATGTACTAAATAGAACAAAGACCTCTCAGATCACTGACCAAAAGCAACATTATCTACACATTACAGTCATTACACGATCGTGTGAGGTAAGAACATATAATATGATAACCACTGAATATCGATCTTCATACATATCTAAACTTTACTACGCGGAGTGGTGGTCAGTGACGACAGCCTGGTCGGAGCCAGCTTTAAAAATTCAAGATTTGTTTATCTCTAATTTTGAAATCTTTATCTTATTAATGACAACATAGTTTTCACACAGTAGTAAATACGACACATAAAAAGTACTTAAATTGGTCACAAATAGCTACGTAAATATTTTTCATTTTTAATAAGTTCCCGCAGAATGTTGCTTCGTTTAGCGCTGTTTCAGTAATGTTTTTTATTTATTAGTCCGGAAATTTTCCAAAATATGGGTAAAAGCGGCTCAGATGAGATAAATGAGGATGATGATGAAGAATTGTAAGGAACAGTAGCCGTAATTAGTAATCTATCTAACAATAATCTGAAGCAATCAAATGATCAAGAATAGAAGAAAAATATTGATAGTTGTGAATTAGGAAAAGAGCAACATGATTTTCAATGTTAAGATTTGTTTGCAAATAGATCTAGGTTCACAATGATTAAAATTATGGATAAATTTGTTGAAAATGATCCAAGTCTGAACAGAATTTAAAAAGCAAGACGGGGTGTAATAGGTATATTTAAAAAAAAAACATATAATCGGTCTTATTTTAGTTATTAATATTTAGACTAGACAAAAATTTATTTGACTAATAACAGATACCTGACAATACCTAAAAAAATGACCATATCATTATGCAAAATTTGTTGTCCTTCCAACGGAACAAAATGAAGTTAAAAAATTGATATTGCTAATTAAAACAACTCAATACTGATCCGTTGATCTCATTTCTTATTGAATTTCATCACGCAAATAATTTTCTTTCTTTTTATTCTTGAAAATTTTGATTTCAATTTTTTGTTCAAATCAATGATAGTATTACCATAAAGTCAAAATAATCATAGTGTCATATTCAGACCGCATAAAAAATTAATATATAGAAACAAACCATTAATATACTAAAATATTACAAAGGTAGATTTTGGTACATCCCTTAATGTAAATTTCGATTCTTAAGCCAAATCAATAACTGCTCAGGGCGTTCCGCCCTAACATAAAGCCGAAATTCTATTCTTTGTAAATTATTGTATCATATTAACAAGCCAAAAAGTTTCAAGTTATAGAACATATTAAAATAATATGGACAGAGATTTATTTTTATTATCAAAAAAGCTTATTCTCGAAACCTTTTCAGGAAAAACAGACATTGATTTGGTCTAAGAACTAAAATCAAGTTCCATAAATATATTTCACTAACCCTCTAACACTTTTTCCTCTGCAAGGTTCCCAAATTTCGTCTGGTTGAAAATCCTGCATTAGGGTATAACAGAGACCTTGGCCCCATATTGAATCTGGATTTGGCCTCAAAGCATACCTGTGGGCACACACTACAATGTGGCCACCTTTGGTGTCATTGCTAGAGGAGCTGACACTAACCCCGAGCCATTGATCTTCTTTTAATTCGTCGTTTCCAGGTGGATATAATGTGTCATCGTTGATTGCTGTATATAAAAGTTTTACTTCAATAATTTTTCATAAACATTTAATTATGTTATGTATGCATGCATATAAAAGGAATAATTTATATGTATATATTGATGGGTTCTCTGTACGAAAACTGGTGAATTCCTTTCGGGTGAACTTCCACCCGATTCAGTAAGGTATTTATAATGTGGTCCACATGGCATCATCTCTTTTGCCATATAATACCTCACATGCAAATATGACTTGTACACCACAGTGTTTCAATAGGTTTTCACTTCTATATATAGATCAATTTTCCAAGCTGATGATTTCAAAATTGTATAAAAGAGACACTTACAGGGAAAGCCTCTAATAGCTCTTCTGGGATTTTGCTGAAACTTCGCCTGGTGATAGAATTGATAGTCAAAACAATTTCCTTAATAGGTCTATAACATTTTATAGGGTTTAATTGGACCAGGAACTCTATCGTCATTCGAAAATTCATCAAAACCCCAGAAGAATATGTACCTGAGAATTCCCTTGTTTGTCTAAAGTTGTAATTCAAACTGTAAATCTCGTTGAATTGACTTGTAAAATTGGCTGTTAATATGTTATTTTGTTACAAAAACAGATTTTTCAATAACCTTATTTTTTTTTAAATTTCTTCATGCATGAATATATTTTTCATAAAAATTGAACAGAGTAGAATTTAATTGTAAAATTTGGCGGACATCATCTTTTTGTTCTGTTATGAAAGCAAAATTTTTAAAAAGCCTTAATTTGCGTAAAAAAAATATTATTCAGAATTCCATTGTAAAATTTGAGAGATAATAGTTTTTTGTCTTGTTATAAAAAATGAATTTTTCAAAATCCTTAATTTGAATGCGGTATTAATTTCTCATAAATTCAAAGAACCTAAAAATGTTAATTTGTTGTGCTCCATGATCGGTCTAATTCTTTCTTTATAATAAGGAGTTAAAATATAATTTATTAAAAGTTAAATAAATGGTACAATTTTTTTAAAAAGATTTACCGACTAGTAATTCATGTTTTAAAATCAGACAGATTTTTAATAATTTGTACAAAGTGCATTAACTCGACTGGCGAGTTATTTAAGGCGAGGCTAAAAAGGATGTCATCTTGCAAATCGAAATCGATCGTAAGTCTGAATTTAACGACCTTGCTTAAAAGCATTAGAAAGCCTGCACTTATACATAATGTAAGTAGATATGTATATTATATATATATATATATATATATATATATATATATAAATGATTTATATTGAAATTGATATCAAATTCACTTGGAGAATTCAAATAGAAACCGTCTGCACCAACCTATAATGTAATAAATGATTCTTACAGTACAACGTAAAACACTTGAAATTATAAGGCAAATTACATCAAATTTTACACAAATTTCCAGAAGCTTTAGTTTTCATGAAAGATAGTAAAATAAAAAAATAATGATATGATTTTTTTGTATCAATTATTTCGCAGTACAGTGTTATTATTGTACGTTAAAATCATTTAAAAACACATCGGAACTAATTTGGGTTTTCAATGAGATTCGATTTTTATTTTAATGCGTAGAACCCATTATTTTCTGGTATAGACAGAAAATAATGGGCCCACCCATTCCGGAGAAAAACTATTAAAAAAATATTTTCCTAAGTCGAAAAATGAAAACGTGAAATATGTTCATAAAATTGTCTGGCTTTGAAATTAATCACAAACTTTTAAGCGTTATAAAGTTTAGTATATGTACCAATCCATTATCATCAAATGAATTTTTTTATTTATATACATATAAATTCGCAAATAGTTATGTAAATCGTCTCGCGGGTTTTCGTATATTTTAATTGAAGCCAAGTAGTAGTTGTTGACCGCCACCAAGACTTTTTATTCGGTCAATTTTATTTTTTTATAGTGCGTATATAAAAAGCAAAATTTAACCCAAAAATTTCAACCTCCTACCACAAACCCTTATTTTGTAAAAATTATTTAATAGTAATTATATCATTTTTCATATGCCATACGTCCGATCCCCGTAAAAATTTGGACATTTGTTAGGTAAACCCCAGGCAGGTTTTTGGGTATTTTGATTTAAGTTGAAAAACAAATATTTTACATGTTCTCATCGAATCAAATTAATTAACTTTTAAGGCAATTTGAACATGTATACATTTTTGAAACGAATAGTAAAAAATGTTCAATATACAAAAATCAGATTTTTCTAATGTGAAGTTTTTCAAATTAATATTATTAAAATCATTCGAAAAGTTTATATTTTTTCATAGATTTTCAAAAATTTGTATATTTCTCATTTTTTTCCAGTTTTTCAACATTTATATATAATATTTGTTCATGATGCAGCAATTTGCCTTGAGGCGCAATGACACACACCATCAGTTTTTTCTAAAACTTCTGTAACACACATTGTAAAGCAATTTTATTCTTTTCTGAAAATACAACAAAACCTAAAAAAAATTATTATAAAAAATATAATTAAAATAAAGCGATGCATTCAAACTAAAAGCTTTAAAGCACTACAGTTAAAAGCATTAAAGTAACACTATACAAAGCTATTATACAGCATGCGATTAATAATATAAATATGTTTAGTTTAATTTATTTCAAAATCTTTCAGTTTTAATTAAAACTGATATTCAAAACCAATTTTTACATCCATTTATTACTTATACCAATAAGTCCCAAATGTTGTAAAACAAAAACAAACAAAAAATCACTCAATTGAAATCTTAACCCAAAATGATTTCCATTGGTAATGATGGCAAAAAATATGTAGTAATATATAGTTAGCTAATAAATAAAAGTAATGTTAGGCAAAAAATGTTAGAAGAGTTAGAGCAAAAGTTGTAACTAAATTGCACACGTCATGACTTACATTTGCTATAGAGTCCATTTGCCACTGCAGGTTTCACACAATACAGCCACCGACAAAAAAGATCATTTGCTTGTTAAAATATATTTGCAGATAGATTTGCATAAACAATGCGATATATAAATTATTATTTAGCATATTAATATTTATAAAATGTTGCATTCTTTTGATTTCAAAAAGCAAACATCGCTGGCAAAGGTAAAGGTACCTACTACAAGAAAAGGATAAAAGTAAGAAAATATATGTTGATTTTTTTTCTGGTTGAATTAAATATACGCAATTAAATGTTATTATAAAATGTTAAAAAAATGTAAATGTTTTGTTCACATTTTTTTAAATATAAAATTTTAACTATTGAAATGATAATAGCATTAATACCATTGAAAAGTTAAACAAATATATTGATGAAGAGCTTTAAAATAGTATTGATTTAAATCATTATTCAAAAACGTATAAACACAATATTTGCCTGAAATACAAAAACTCTACGTTTCATGTAAAAATCCATGATGACAACATTCATGTAAAAATCCAGTAATTAATTATTGAAGCATATTCACCGTCGCTAGCTGTAATACAATTTAACATATTATATTGTAAATTCTACGCCCATTTTTATCTAAAAACCACCAGTAAGCATAATTCTAGAAGTATTAAGCCAGTTTATAAATACTATTAACTATTTATTTGAAACAACTTGCAAACTGCTTATTTTTTTAAAAAGTTGTAGTAGTAAAAATGATATCTGTAGTATAAATATCACGTTTTTGTAAGAAATATTGAAAATATTATATTAGATATTAATTTAAGCTTGCAAGTAGCTTACCAACAACAACAATATCTACACGACTTTGCCTAACGTTTAACTATGGCTAATATTTCTAACATACACTAATCTATATATATAGAGGGTGTCCCAGAATTTAACGTCAAGCCGAAACAAGGTGATAGTATTGACCTTAACTGTTTCGAAAAAAATGATCTCACCTGGTTTGAAAATTATGAGCTTTTAAGTACGACCTTGAGCTTTGGTAAAATTATGACCAATTTTCTGTTATTGTAGTTAACTTTCATTAACTTTGTTCAAACATTTGAACCGTGTCTTTGAATAATATTACTAGGACCACAATAAAAAATACCACAATCGCCCAAAGTTTTTAAGAATTAAGACCATTCGTTGAACTGTTAATTTTTTTTAAATTAGTTGACTATGAAAAGCCCTATTTTAAAAATAATGTACTAAGTGTATTGGCAAATTTCATCCAAAGTTGGCGCATCTAATCATGATTGTAAAATGATAAAATACTTGATAGTTTTATTATTGGAAATTTTCGAGTAAAAATATAAAAACCTAAAAATGGAATAATTTTTGGAGTAACTTTTTCCCACAATTAGGTCAAATGCTTCTCGTAAGCACAACTGAACGTGAGTAAAATGTACTACCAAAAATCATGTTAGTTTTAGATTTTTATGTTTTACTCAAAATGTTTCAATAATAGAACTATTATATATTTTACTATTTTACTATCCTCATTGAACATGCCAACTTTTGATGAAAATTGCTAACACACTTTAATACATTTTCTTGAAAGAGGGCATCTCAAAGTTGACGATTTTAAAAATTTTAAATTCAACAAAATGTCATAATTCATGAAAACTTGGGGCAAATGTGGTATTTTTTTCACTGTAGTCCTAGACATGTTGTTCACGGTTATGGCATCAAAGTTTAAATGAACAAAATTAATAAAAGTTTATCACAATAACCGAAAAATGATCATAATTTCATCAAAGCTCTAGGTTATACTTAAAAGCTCATAAGTTCCAAACAGCGAGGTATTTATTTCTAATTTTTTTCAGAAGAATTAAAGTCAATACTATTACCCAGTTTCGGCATGAAGTCAAGGTCTAAGACACCCTGTATATAACCATGAACTATTATTCGATCACTAAATCTAACCAAATTTGCATTTTGTACAATGTTGTTAGACTATTTACCAAATATTTCGGTCTGCGAAATAATTAGTTTTTATTGTGCTTTCTTTTCAGTTACTACTAACTAAAACTCTGAGCACCAACTACTTGTTAAATATTTTGGCTTTATTAATTTATTGCGCTAGTGCAAGTACACTGCTTGTGTTGGCAACTATAAATTTATTTTTTATTATAAAAAACATTTTTTTATTCTTGTAAAAACTTTTTCTTCTCTAAAAGTGAACAAGATAAGATGAATATCTATAACGCCAGTTCTAAAAGTTTATAGCGCTTATAAATATCTATAGAACATTTTGTTTAAAGGTTTGTTATTTATTAATATTTTCGCTTACATCGTCTTCCATCAGTAATAACTTGTTCGCAATCGTAACTTAGTGTGGTCAAGGGGCATTTATACAATGCTCCTGATCTGGTCGTATTGGGTTGCTTGTTCTTTCCTAGAGGTGCACCAACTAATATCCTGAAAAAGTAGAAAATTATAAATATTTTATATAAAAGTGGAATATTACTAAGAATTATGTAAAAAAATAATTAGTTTTGGATATTCTTTTGGAGATTTTGTAACATGATTAGTGATATACAGTTTGCAATAATTAGCAAAAAATTGTTTTAGATCTATAGTTTAAGTTAAAAGTGATTGTCTTGGTCATAGCTTTATAAAGCACTCAGAAATAAATATTTCTGTAAGCTAATTATAAATGATAATTATGAACAGGTTAAACTAAGATCATATCCATTGATCTTGTATGTGCGTATTAAGTCTCTCCTTCGATAACTCAAATTGTTTAATATATAATTTAACAATATAATTTAACCCTTGTAGCTGTGAACTGTCTGTTTAATTGGTATAATTTATGCATTTGTTGCAGTTTTTGTTACAATCACTGATTTGTTCTAAGTTATAACTGAAAGAGATATATTTATTGATTATTTACTACATATACGCAGACTTCAATTTTAGAAGTGAGAAAAATTAATCCTATCAAACTCGCCGCTACCACCAGGGGTAGCAGCCATCCCGTGTAAAAGCGCAATGCCATGAAGATTGTCGCCTTCATGGCCAATATAATGAAAAGAAAATACGTCCGAACTGATCTATATTACATTATGTCACAATTGATATTTATATTTTAATAATGAATTTAGGTATAATCCAAAACAATTTTCATTTCCTTTTTACTAATTTCTGTTGGAATCACAGGATCACAGGTTTTATAGAGTTGTATCTCCATTCTGATTTGAAACTTTAATGTCAAGGCCTTATAAGTTTAATTTTTATATTATTGTAAACATTCTGAATATAGTGACGTACCAAGAAGAGTTAAGTATTGATTTTAATATTTTTACTTGAGCTCTCGGAATAAGTACTAATATAATAACAAATAATATAAATTACTTGGGCTTGAATGATAATCCTTACGGATCTAATGTACTTTATATAGCAGTATTTATTTTCTGCAGATTTCCATCTCTTTCATTTGTAGAAAGTTTTTTCAATTACAATTAGCTTAATGTCTTTGAGTTATAAATCAGAATTCACATTAATTCAGGTAAAGACCGATGAGATTACTAAAAAATGGAAATAATTAATATTTCTTTCTTAGCTAATGGTTTTGAGTTATCAAAATGTACTCATATTCAGGAAAACAACGATGAGATGACTAAGAAACTAAAAACAATTGAAATTTCTGATCTAACTCTGAAAGTGTCATTTAGTGACTAACATATTATTATGTGTAAAAAATTCTTGTTATGATTAATTAAAATTCGGAACACGTCACAAACACGCTGTTCGTGCTAAAACAGCAACTTTAATATGATAAAGATCAAGGAATATATACATTAAGCACGTATTATTAATGAATAAGATTAGTTTTATTAATATTGGCATCAGAAATTGTATTCTAGACGTAATTCGTTTGACTCATGTGCTCTCAAGTTGGGCATGTGGGTGATTTTTATCTCATGCTAATATTAGACTCATAGTCATTTCGTTTTTAAAAATCTTGAACACATTTCCATGAACAATCAATCTTAGAAATAAGATTGAAAATACCAAGAAATTCAGATTAACTCATTTTTAGTTTTATCTCATTATTCATATGTAAATATATAGAAATGATCACCCCAAACTTGATCAAAACTGTTCAAATTATTAACTAATTGTGACAAGTAATTTATTTAAAATTCAATAATATAATTAGTTTTTTAAATTTAGTGGTTTGATTAATTATTAGTTTTTTTTCGTTTATTCCGTTTATTGTATAAAATTTAAAAATAACATTCAACTAATTTCTAATAAATTTCGTTTCTAATAATATAAAGGCTTGAAATTGGTTAAGTCAAGAAAAGTAAGTACAGATATACCATCTGAATGTAAATTATCATGGTTCTGAAAGATGTAAGCATTTCAATCTATTCAGTTTCCCTTTTTTCATTAGTAAGTAAAATAAAAATTGTAAACAACAAATAAATTAGGTAAATATAAATAATAGCAAATTAAAAATGAATATAACTTTAAATAGAATAAGCGTGAAGAAATATCAGTGCTCTAATCCATGAATTAGGCGCTTTTTTCTCAATTTCTGGCCAGATAATTGGGATCTACTCTGTTCTTATATTTTAGACTGAGCATTATGTTCATATAAATAAAATAGCAAATTAAAAAAAAACTATAAATAGAATGAATAATTACGAAGGAATCTGGTAAGTATCCTGTTCAATCAAGTGGAGAAAAGTTTCTTTTGAGGCGTTTGTTGCCGTGAGTCTTCAATAATTTTCTGGCCATGAAGTTGGAATGTTTTACTACTATGCTCTTATATTTCAGATTGAACATTATTTTCGTGTAAATGATCATTAAACTATGACCTTTCTGACACAACGATACATCGATCAACACAGGTATCAATTGTGGAAGTCAACAACTAAGGATATTTTTGTTAGGCGCTATCTATCCTTAGGCCACATTGTATATATCCACTTAAGAAAAGTGCGGCATTCCAAAAGAAAAAAAAACACATGTATAACGATAATTTTAAATTTGGTAAGTCACGACCGAGAGGCATGGCCCGTGCCACTTGACTGCTACATTTATTTATTCAAGTGCATCATAAAATTATAATGGGTTCATGCTCATCACCAAAATTAAATCGATGAAACGGGCAAAATTACTGACAGCAGCATTTGGTAGAGAAAACTCACAACCGAAATAGTTTTCTTTCAGTCAAATATCTATTGAAGCCATTGGAATTTTCTAAAGGTTTTACTAACAATAAGAAAATTAAAGAAAATTAGTAATAATCAAAAATACATGTATTCAAAACTTTAGACTTGAGTTTCTTAATTATTCAGACAGATTAGAAATATATCAAAAAAAAAGATTATTTTGTTTAATATAACGATGTGCGGGCAATTTTACCTACTTCCTTCAAACTTTCGAAATTTGATCTATGTTTCAATAAAACTCATATTTTATTTTCATTAATTTTAGAGTTTTGTATAAATAAAATAATTTTTAATCATATTAGGTTATATAAACTTATGTAGATTTTAACTTTTCAGAACTGTAATAAAACTCTCATACGACTTCTTTTCTGAATCGAGTTGGAGTTTAACTATTATATCATTTTTTTTAAAATCAATACTGATTTCTTACAATTAGGGAAATAAGTTAATTTTAGTTTGGCTTAAAGAAGAAGAGTAATGAGTACGGTAAAGACATAATAGCTAAACCATAATGATTTTGAGATAGGGTCCAAAAGGAGAAAGATGAAGTATGTTTGTTCGGACAAGTTTCCAGTTGATCGCATTGCTTTTAATGAGTCAAAAGTAAGTTTTTTTGGATTTTGGTTTGAGCGATTGTGTGATAGTGTGATTAGATTTTATTATTTCATTATTATTATTTTTGCTAATCCATCGTATTTAAGAGCAGTATTTCAGTATTTCCACAAAGACAAATGTTTAAGTTACCATTTAATTTACTTTTTTGTCCCGGGCAGCTGGTATAATAACAAAATTATTTTTATTAACCCAGTCTCCCCTACAACAAATACACATATGAATTTGTAAAATAAAATTACTTAACAAAAAATAATCTCTGTGTGTAAATTCACAGACGTCATCCAGATTTATTTCTTTTTTTTTATGAGTATGTTTGTATGTATGCCTCACGTTTCTGAAGAAAACATTCAATCGGATCATGGTATTTTTCGAAGTTATAATGTTCAGGGCTAGGCCATTATTATTAATTTATAAACTAACAAAGTAGTTGAAACTTCAACATTTTTTGTTTGCTACTCCAAAATTCGATATGTCAAGTGTATGTGCAAAAAATCCCAAGAATTATCATGATTTGATTGTGGGCTTTCCCTCGGAAACTTCATAGAGAACAAAGAAATATAGATGCTCGTACAAGAAGAAATGAATCTAGTTGTAGATAATGCTATGATTAATAGTTGTGCAAGCAAATAAAAAATATATTAAAGTGTTTGACTCAAAGAAAACAATGTGAATGATTTGCATATAATAACAGAAAGGGTTTGAATGCGTTGCAACACAAAATCGACCCCACCCTGTTATTTAAACGATTTATGCCGCATTTTAAGAGTTTGAAAT